TAGGCAGAGAAAATAGATAAATACAAAATGACAGCCAATTTAACTGAGACTACGAAACAGCTTCTCATTCAATACAATTAATATTTTTTGGGGGGTGGGTTATCTGCAGATGACTAAGTATTATGACAGGATTATGACAATGTTATAAACTTTAGTTTTGTTTTTGTAGTAGTTATCAGAGTAAGCATTTCAATAAGCTGCAAAAAATGAAAATAACAAACAATGAGTTATATCTTCTAAGATCAGTCCAGAAACAAATCCGCATTAATCAGAAATGTAGATCTTATGTCAAATACGGGCAAGAGATTGGCTGATTCTCTCCTTCTAAATCATTTTTCAATATAAACCCCTTCACTGACATACAATCTATAAAACCCACCACCCCCCATCAACAAATCCAAAGCACTTGATGGCTGTGAATTAGCCATAATGGATGAAATTGCAAATTCTTTGTTAAAAATCTGTTTCCACCAAGCAAGGTGGTGCACGACTGTAATTCCAGAAGCTCCAGAAGCTGGGGCAGGAGGATCACAAGTTTGAAGACAGTCTTAACAATTTAGTTAAGCCCCGAGCAACTCAATGAGACACTGTCTCAAAATAAAAAATAAAAAGGGCAGGGAACTGGCTCAGTGGCTAAGCACCCCGGTTCAATCCCTAGTTCCAAAAAACAAAAAAAAGTTCTGTTTCATGATTGTTCTCAAACAAATGAAACATCCCTTAAGTCACTCAGACTTTAAGAATACCTCAACATCCCATTTATTAATTATTTTATTACTTATACTTTAGGAATCTTGTGGAAGAAGTCTGTTCCTAAGTCAATATGATGGAGAATTGGGCCTAAATTTTCTTCTAGTAGGTACAGGGTTTCTAGTCTAATGCCTAGGTCCCTTATCCACTTTGAGTTGATTTTTGTGCAGAGTGAGAGACAGGGATTCAATTTCATTCTACTACAGATGGATTTCCAGTTTCCCCAGCACCATTTGTTGAAGACGCTATCTTTTTCCAATGTAGCCTTTGTCTAGTGTGAGATAACTATAGTTATGTGGGTTTCTCTCTGTCTTCTATTCTGTATCATTGGTCTTCATGTCTATTTTGGTGCCAATACCATGCAATTTTTGTTACTATGGCCCTATAGTATAATTTAAGGTCTCGTATTATGATACCCCTGCTTCGCTTTTCTCTCTAAAGATTGCTTTGGCTATTCTGGGACTCTTTTTTATTCAAATGCATTTTATGACTGCTTTTTCTGTTTCTATAAAGAATGTCATAATTTTAATAGAAATTGCATTAAATCTGTATAGTGCTTTTGGTGGTATGGCCACTTTGACAATATTTTCCCTATCCAAGAATGTGGGAGATCTTTCCATCTTCTAAAGTCTTCTTCAATTTAGTTCTTTAGTGTTCTGTAATTTTCATTGTAGTGGTCTTTCACCTCTTTTGTTACATTGAGTCCCAAGCATTTTATTTTATTTTTTGAGGCTATAGGACAGTTTTCCTAATTTGTTTTAGCTGATTCATCATTGGTGACTAGGAATACAACAGACTTATGGATGTTAATTTTATATCCTGTTACTGTCCTGAATTCATTTATGAGTTCTAGAAGCTTTCTGGTGGAGTTTTTTGTTTGTTTGTTTGGTTTTGGGGGGGGGTCTTCTAAATATAGAATTATGTCATTGGCATATAGAAATACTTGGAGCTCTTCTTTTCCTATTCACATCCCTTTAATTTGTGTCTTCCACCTAATTGCTTGACTAGAGTTTCAAGGACTATGTTTAATTCAAGTGGTGAAAAAGGACATCCCTGTCTTGCTCCTGTTCTTAGAATGCTTTCAATTTTTCTTCATTTAGAATGATGTTGCCCTTGGATTTAGCATATATAGCTTTTACATTGTTGAGGTGTGTTCCTACTATCCCAGTTTTTCTAGTGTTTTGAACATGAGGAGGTGCTGTATTTGTCAAATGCTTTTTCTGCATCTGTTGAGATAATGTGATCTCTCTCTTTAAGTCTATTGATGTGAGGTATTACATTTATTGATTTCAAATGCTTTTTTTGCATCTATTGACATAATGTGATTTCTCTCTTTAAGTCTATTGATGTGAGATATTACATTTATTGATTTCCATATGCTGAACCAATCTTGCATTCCTGGGATTAATCCCAGGAATTGATCATGGTGCAGTATCTCTTTAATATGTTTTTGTATGTGATTTGCCAGTATTTTAAGCTTCTTAACAACAAAGGAAAAAAATCAAGAGCATGAAGAGAGAAAATCATTGCCACCTGCACCTCAGATAGAGCTATATAAAGAACTCTAGGATATATAAAGAACCCAAAAAATTTAACATACAAAAACACAAATATCCTAATCAATAAATGGGCAAAGGAACTGAACAGGCACTTCATAGAAGAAATAAGAATGGTCAAAGAATATATAAAAATGTTCAACATCTCTAGCAATTGAGAGAAATGCCAATTAAAACTAGATCCCATATCTCACTCCAGTCAGAATGGCAACCATCAAGAATACAAATAACAATAAATGTTATTAAAGACGTGGGGGGAAAGGTTCACTCATACATTGCTGGTGGGAATGCAGGAATGCAAATTGGTGCATCCACTATGGAAAGAAGTATGGGATTCCTCAGAAAACTTGGAACGGAACTACCATTTGATCCATTTATCCTACTCCTTGTTATATACCCCAAAGACTTAAAATCAGTATACTACAGTGCCACAGCCACATTAATGTTTACAGCAGCTCAATTTACAATAGTTAAGCTATGGAACTAACTTAGGTACCCTACAACAGATGAAGGGATTAAGAAAATGTGATATATATACATAATGGAATATTACTCAGCCATAAAGAAGAATGGAAATTATGGTATTTGCTGGTAAATGGATAGAACTGGAGACTATCATGCTAAGTGAAATAAGCCAATCCCCAAAAACCAGAGCCAAATGTTCTCTCTGATATGCAGATGCACACACAATGAGTGGGGGAGAGGGAAGAATAGATTCATCCTTAACCCACTGGATTAGACACAGGTAGGAAGAACATGGCGGGCCACCAGCAATGATGGCCATAGGAGACCCACTGACCTTCAGCAGAGGGAGCAGTGCCAGGGTGCAAGCTTGGCACCATGACCCAGAAGCCCACCTTTGGCAAGCCTGAAGTAGAACTGCATGTCCACCTTGATGGGGCTGTCAAGCCTACAACCATCTTATACTACAGCAGGAAGTAAGGGATTGCCCTCCCCAGCTAACAAAGCAGAGGAGCTACAGAACTTTATTAGCATCAATAAGCCACAGTGTCTAGCCAAGCTGGAGTATTACTTTTCTGCTATCACAGGCTTCAGAAAGGCCATAAAAAGAATCACCTACATGTTTGTGGAGATGAAGGCCAAAGAGGGCGTGGTGTATGAAGAGGTGCACTATAGCCCACACCTGGCTGGCCAAATCCAAAGTGGAACCGATCCCCTAGAACCAGACCAAAGGGGACCTCACCCCAGATGAGGTACTGGACATAGTAGACAAGGGCCTGAAGGAGTGGGAGCAAGTCTTTGGGATCAAGGTGCAGTCCATCCTGTGCTGCATGTACAGGTCCCTTGAAGTGGGGGAGCTGTGTAAGAAGTACCAGCAGCATACTGTGGTGGTCATCAACCTGGCTGGTGAAGAGATCAAAGGAAGCAGCTTCTTTCCAGGGCATGTGGAGTCCTACCAGGAGGTGGTAAAGAGCGGCATCCATCACACCGCCCATGCCAGGGAGGTAGGCTCTGCAGAGGTGGTGCAAGAGGCTATGGAGACATTCAAGTCCAAGAGGCTGGGACATGGCTACCATGCCCTGGAGGACAAGTAACTTTATAACAGGCTGTGGCAGGAAAACACTTTGAGGTCTGCCCTTGGTCTAGCTACCCCACAGGTGCCTGGAAGGCAAAAACCGAGCATGCAGTCATTGGGTTCAAGAATGACCAGGCCAATTACTCGCTCAACACAGATGACCTGCTCATCTTCAAGTCTACCCTGAACCCTGACTACCAGATGACGAAACAGAACATGGTCTTCATCAAGGAGGAATTTAAGTGAGTGAACATCAATGCAGCAAAGTCCAGCTTCCTCTCAGCAGATGAGAAGAAGGAGCTCCTTGACCAGCTCTACAGAGTCTATAAGATGCTTCTGGGCAGGACCCCTGATGATGGCAGAGCCATCTTCTGAGCTCTGTAGATGGATTCTTCACAACTCTGGGATCAAGCTACACTCTAACCTGTATTCCTTCCAGGAAGACAAAGATTTTAAAAGCTACTGATGCTCTCAAGACTACATAAACACAGATCTTGGCATGGCCACATCTCTCCTCTGTTTATGTGCCCTGGGCAGGGACCAGGGCTCTGGCCAATGCCATGGATGATTCTGAAACCCTCCCCCTACAGCAATACTTGCTGAAAATCTGGTGCTCAATAAAGCAGCTGGTGGCTGGTAAAAAAAATAAAAAGAAGGGAGGAGGGACGGGAATAGGAAAAACAGTAATGAATCAGGCATAACTTCCCTATGTACATATTTGAATATATAACCAGTGAAACTCCAAATCATGTAAAACTGCAAAAATGGGATCCCAATTAAAATAAGTTATACTCAATGTATCCATAATATGTCAAAACATACTTTATTGTTATCTATATCTAAAAAGAATTTAAAAAAGAATACCTCAGCAGACATTTTTAGAGTCTCAGGATAAAACAGAGTAAGTTATCTGTACAAACTGAATTAGGATCATATATTGATTGTATGCACTTTATCCTCCAACTGTTAATTAAGGTCATTCTTTGATGTCAGTCACCAAATATTAATTCAGAAACCTGTGATTCTTATATAAATAAATCAGACAATTTTCCTTTTTAGCTATAGAATTACTACTAAATGTCTTAATACAAAGAAAAAAAAAGCCCAATATGTTTTCTCAAGATAACACATACATAGAGCCAGGTACAAATTAAACTTACCACTTTTTTAAAATCATCTTCTGCTTCATCAAGTTTTCCTTGTTTAAGTAATAAGTGACCTCTCTGTAATCTTGCCTAGGGAAAAGAAAAAAAAAGAGAATTGTCCTGAGTACTATTCATTTCTAAACTTTCTTTAAAATACAAAGAATAAAACTCAGTAAGATAATGATGTAAATAATACTCTTCCAAAGCTCATTTGACTTGGCACTAAAAATATTTCCTGGAATCAATGAATATATAAAATTTTTGTGAAAGTGTCCCTCCTTAAAAATACTTTTTTCTCACTGGACGCAGTAACACACCTGTAATCCCAGCTACTTGGGGTGCCAAGACAGAAAGGACCACAAGTTCAAGGTCAATCTAGGCAACTTAGTGAGACCCTGTCTCAAAATAAAAAGGGCAGGAGATGTAACTCAGTGGTAGAGTACCCCTTGGTTCAATTCCTAGTACCACAAAAAATAATACATTTTGCTCTATCCAAGAAAACTGAAAACATATTTCCACACAAAAACTTGTACATGAATATTCATAGATGTAAACTGAAGTTTCCATCAGCTAATAAATCAATAAATACATTTGATACATCCAAGCAATGAATTATTTATTATTCAGTCATAAAAAGGAATGCCTGGGCTGGCGTATGGCTCAGTGGTAGCATGCTCACGTGACTAGCAAGTGCAAGGCCCTGGGTTCGATCCTCAGCACCACATAAAAACAAATGAAGGTATTGTGTACAACTACAACTAAAAAATAAATATTTTTTAAAAAAAGGAATGCAGTGTTGATACATACTACAACATGAAAGAACTTTGAAAACACCCTCATTTTTATGAAATATCCCAAAATAGGCAAATCCGTGATAAGCTATTGCCAGGGACTAGGGTAGAAATGGGGAGTGATTGCAAATAGGTACAGAGTTTCTTTTGAGGGTGACAAAAGCATCCTGGAACTAGACAGTGATGATAATTACACAACTTTGTGAACATACTAAGAACCACTGAATACTTTAAAACACTGACTTTGATGGTATGTGATTTATATTCAATTTTTAAAAATACTTTCTGCCACTAATATGAAAGTTGTATTATTTTGAGATTTTATCAAAGATCCAGAAATGGGTTTGCTTTATATTAACTCTCAATGCAAATATTTACTCTGCTATAACAAGAAGGACAGTGCCTCTCCTCTTTCATCTCTAATATTCCTCCTCTTCTAATGAGCATAATCTCATCTCTTCCAGTATCAACTCTCTGATGACCAATGTCTACCAGAAAACAGAAATCACCTTGATATTCCACTCATCAATTTTACAGTACATAAAATTTCCCTAATCCTCTGTCAAATACATCAATACATGTAAAAAGCAAAATTAAAGTTACTTCAACTAGCTAATAGCTAACACTAGGAAAATGAGCTACTTAATCTTTGTGAAACACTGTGCTTAGCTGTGTAGAGTTAACAGATTCAATAAAAATTTGACACTTGAGAACTGCACCTTTAAAAAAATGAAAACATTTCAAACATTCACTTCATATATAATTGTTATCTCAAATCCTTTTTGAAGTATGGCAGGATATAAATACTAAATGGTCACCATATTAATTCTGAAACCATCTAATTGGTCATTGGTTCTATCTGTTCTGCCTCGGAAAGCACCAACTTGGTTCCATCCAATGAGTTCCCTGTGCACACATCACAGCTCTTACAGTGACATACCAATCTTCACAGAATCACATTAGACTGTAAGTTCTACAACTCGGAAGCTTGTGCCTTGGTTCCAGGGAGAGCCCTGCTAACTCCTCATGGTATCCTCACCAAAAATCACCACTTAACTGAACTTCCCTCTTTATTCTTTCTGCTACAGACTTAACTAAAACTTGTCAGACAGATGACAGCCTCTTAATTCAGCCCCTTATTTCATGCCTCCCTCACATCTTCCCCTACATTCCATCTCCACACAAATTTGTGTTTCTAAACCACAAAGCTAATATTATTGCCAGGCCTCTTCCTGAGGGATTGAACACAGAGGTACTCTACCACTGAGCTCTATCCCCCAGTTCTTTTTGTTTTATTTTTTATTTTAAGACAGGGTCTCACTGAGTAGGACAGGATGATCTCAAACTTGCAATCCTTTTGCCTCAGCCTCCTTAGGAGGGATTACAGGTGTGCACCACCATGCCCAGACAGACTTCGTTATTTTTTGTGTTACTACTATATGTTTTATTTCTCCCTATGTTGCCCCGGCAGCCTTTCAATCTTGGGAATCACGAGATCCTCCTGCCTCAGCCTTCCAAGTGGTCAGGACTAAAGGTACATGACACTATACCCAGAAATTCAAGGGACTTTGAATTTCTCTTTGTCCCCAGTAGTAGCTTTGATATGCTCTGGTTATGCGTACCTTTCCAATTCTCACAATAAGAAACAATGACCAGAGGCTAGGGTTGTGGCTGTGTGGTAGAGCACTTGCCTACCATGTATGAGGCACTGGGTTCAAAACTCAGCACCACATAAAAATAAGTATTGTTTCCATCTATAATTTAAAAAAAAAAAAGACCTCTTCCAAGTTCCTTAAGCTCCCCTTTAAACAAAGTGTAGATACACTTACTGCAGTGAAATCCATCTTCAATTCAATCACTTTAGTTAAATCAGGAAGTGCTGCTTTCGATTTTCCCATAGCTAAAAAGACTGTAGCTCTTCGATAGTATGCAATATAGTTATCAGGATCACCATCTGAAAATTAAAACAATATCATTAACTCTATTCAAAAAAATTAAATCACCTGAATAGTATTAGAGTTTATAATGCTATTAAGAAAGGCATTAAGAAAATAATTTCTTCATCAAAAATGAGTCATGAAGGGGCTGGAGTTATAGCTTAGTAAAAGAGCACATTCAAGGCCCTGGATTCCAACCCCAACACCAACCTCCACCCAAGAGAAAAAAAAAAAAAACACCTGCAAGTTCCACCCCTGAAAGACTTATCATCTAGGAAATAGTATATTAGGGGAATGTATGTGGCAGGATAGTACATGATCATTTAAAATTATAGTTGTCAATGGCACTGAAAACCATGTGAAGTACTGCCAAGGAAAGGTGGGACAAGATGAGAGAATAACCTATAAACAAAACCAAACATGAAAGGAGACATGTAAATGGCCAGTATGCACAGGAAAAGATGCTCACTACCACCAACCATTAGAGAAATGCAAATTAAAACCATATTGAGATACTACTTTACAACCATTAGATGCCTGTTATTAAAAAAGAAGATATAAATAACAGTTGAAAGCAGGATTCAAATATATATTTGTTCCTCTGTATTCACAGCAGTATTATTACAATAGCCCAAAACTGGAAACAACCCAAATGTCCATCAATGGATGAATAAACAAAATGCGGTATATACATACAATGAATATTATTCAGTCTTACAGAGAAATGAAATTCTGATTTATGCTAAAACATGAATGAACTTTGAAAACATTATGCTAAGTGAAGTAAGCCAAGACAAAAAAGGTAAAACGTTTTATGATTCAATTTATGTGTGAGACTTACATTACTCAGATTCATAGAAAGTAGAATGAATGATAGTTGACAGGGAATGGTGGAGAGGTCAGAAATGGGACATTACTATTTAATAGGTACAGAATTTTAGTTTAGGATGACAAATCCTGGAGATAGATGGTGATAGTTGTGCAACAATGTGAACACACAATGCCACTGATCTATACAATCAAAAATCACAAAACGGTAAATCTTGTTACATATATTTCATGCTAGAATAAAAAAGTAAAATAGTCTTTTTTGGAAAAAAGAATTTAGGAGTATCAACAATGAAAATGGATTTTCCTTAAATCTACAAACAAATTTCATATATGACCCCAGCTAAGTGTCCCTGAAATTTTTTTCCTGATCAATTTCCCTTGAAAGACTTAGAAAGAAGAGCAAAGCCAGCAGCCTGTGTATACAGTATTTCTTATAACATAAGAAATTAGCTTGAGGAAAGCAAAACAAACAAAGTTACCATACTTAGAACATGCTTGATATAGAATATTTTCAATTCAGTTTATATTTTATTTGGAATGTGCAATAAATTAAAATTTCACAGATCTTGTCAGCATAACTGACCATAGTTGCACCTGAGAGCTACATGTCTAGGCAGCTATCTAGGCAGAGGTACCAGTTTTCTTCTACTGTCCATATATTCCAAAATGTTTCACAATGAACACAGGTTACTTTTATATTCATTAACTATTAAAAAAATCAGAGGCATTATAATAAAAAATAAACCATTAATATACTATTATAAGCCAAATTTTATTACATACTAATAGCAATTTCCTAATCACAGAAGTTAAAAGAAATAAAGTATATCACCATATTCAGAAGTTGAAAAGTATAAACATTTTAGTGAATGTATAACCATCTCAGTGAGTGAATAAACATTCAATGAACTTTTTTGTAATCAAGCAATGTACTAATACATGGATGATATCACAAATAGCTTATATTTTCAAAGCTCTGAAAAAGTTATTTTCTGATAAACACAAACACCTCAGAAGAGATCCAAAAGGCCAATATATATTCAGTATGTTTTAATATACTGAATATTCCCATCATATAAAGTTTAAACTTTATTTCCTATATTATGAATAATCCATGTTTTACATAAAATGATAAATGTTCTTGAACTAGTGTAGTTCTTCAGAGATTATACTGAATCACTGCTATTTGCCAAATCATAATGAAATAACACTCCTACTCAAATCTGGAATGTACTAACAGTATTTCAAATCCTCCTTTTCACTCAATTTCACCAATCAATTACCACCTTTACTGTTTACATCTTTCAGTGAGTGATATTTTACTGAGTATTTTGGAGAAGAGTCATCTCAAGGTCTTATATTGCATTGGTAAACCAAAAATAGTCACCTGAAATTACTTTAACAATATTCCATAGCCCCTGACATTTCTGCTAAATGTGAGACTTCAAAAGCATACTTTGAATTACACAAAGGGGAATAAAGGTAAGGCAGAGGGAATGGGAATAGGAAAGATAGTAGAATGAATCAGTTATTATTACTTTCTTATGTGTAATTATGAATACATGACCAATGTAATTCCACATCATGTACAACCAGAAGAATGGGAAGTTATACTGTTTATATGTACAATATGTCAAAATACATTCTACTGTCATTTATAACTAATAAGAATAAATGAAAATAAAATAAAATTTTAAAAAGCAGATCATAAAGTACATAATAGGTATTAAGTATAAATTTCTGCAAATATTCTAATAGCAATAGTTGTGTATTTTAAGAAATGCTTTTTTGAAGACACTAACTGAAAATAATTTAAATTACCATACTGCAGCTCTGATGACAGTGAATCACAAGAAAAAGTGCAGACTTAGTAGTGATGTGGTCATACAGTAAATGGCCCTTAGAGAAAAGTAACTTGTGCAAATTGTTATGCCAAGTAACTACTACCTATCAAGATAAATTAATCCCTGAAATACAAAATTCCTAGTGGAAACTCCACATAGTTAGAAAACTCTTAGGTACACATCAAACTCATATATAGAAGAGCCAATCTCTTGAGACAAAAATTTAGATTTATTAATATATATTTTATATGTATGGTTATATCTTACTTCCAAAAAAACTTTATATTCATTATTCTCACCTAATCTTCATATAAATTCCTTTGGGTGGCACACTGAAAACCATTAGGAATCTGCAGCTAATTTATTTAGATCTAGACTGTCTTACACAATTGGACCAAGGTCACAGCATTATCAAATGATAAAGAAAAATATTAAAATGTATGTTTCCTATTATTCCAGAGAGCTAATTACATCAATAAAAATATAAGCTGAAGAAAATTATTGCCAGACCAATCCCTACCTGCTTTTTGTTTTTATAGTAAAATAACAATGAAATTATAATTCTCTGGAAGCACAAGTGTAACTTATGAAAAATAAACTACCTCCTTACCTGTTGAGTAGTTGACTAGTCTCTCTTAAACTATCACAAATCAAGATGAAATGTACGAGTAAATAAAAAAGGGCTCTAAGGAAAGTCAATATCAAAAAATCCTCACATAAAAGTTTAAGCAGTGACTCATAAGAAAACCCTTCAAGCCCTCACTTTTAACCTATTTATTGTCATCTCATTCTCAGTCCTAACAGATTAAAAGCTGCAATGACATCTGATGCTACAGACAGACATAAGTACGCACAAAGAAGTAACAGCATCAAGAGTGGTTGGAATTTGACCAATACTGAAGAGTCAATGAACCACAGAATCTTCCAAGGGCATCAAAGTAATTACCATCCTGATAGCCCCAAGACATCAAGAAAATTAAACTGTATTAGGTGAAGTCTGTGTAAGAAATCAGAAAACGATTTAATACATTAAGTATTCTGTCAAAATGTTGAGTTATTCTTGGTACTTATAGTAAATCTCATTACCTCTTATGTTGGGATACATATGCGTTCAAGATTTATTAATCTATTTCATCCAGAATCCTGCAAATATCTTTAATGTTTTCTTTAACATGAAACAATCCTTATTTGAAATTTTATCCATAAAAAGAGCTACTAATTAGAATTCACTAAAACAGCCACTGAGTGATTTGGTTTATAATACAAACCTACTGCGGCATGAAATTGAGATAAAGCATCAGCTAGCTGTCCAGCTGCAAGTAATTTCTTGCCCAATTCAAGATGTTTCTCAACATCTGCATTTACTCCACATTCAGCACCTAAAAATAAATAAATAATCAGTTAATTTTCCATGAGCCAAATTTAATTCTCAAAAACAAAACTTAGTTATCTGGCTTAGTCATCTACTGTTATGAGAAAAGCCACAGAAGCTAAAAATCCTAGAGAAAGTAACCATTAAACTCAAACAGCCCTTCATTTTATAAAAGAAGCCCCAAAATTTACCCATATCAACCTAACCAGTCAAAAGATTATAGCCAGTATACAAACTAAAATAATTGCCTAACACCCATAGTGAAAATATTTCAAATAAAATTAGAACTACTTTGTTAAGCTAGAATCTCATCTTAACATTCAAGTTACTGTGCATCTATAATGCACCAAACACTGTTCTAAGTACTTGGGATAAGTGTACCTGACTTTATGGTGGGAGGAGATGGACAATAATTAGTAAGTAAATAATGTCAGGTAAAAATTACTTTGGAGGGCTGGAGGTATAGTTCAGTTGGTAGAATGCTTGCCTCACATGCATAAGGCTCTGGGTTCAATCCCCAGCATCTCACACACACACACACACACACACACACACACACACTAAATAAATAAATAAATAAATAAATAAATAAATAAATAAATAAATAAATAAATAAATACTATGGAAAAAGTCAAGTGATCTGAGAGGATTGAGAGTATAGGGTGATGGGGCCAGACAGAGTAAATAAGGGGGTCAAGAGCAGGCATCCTTGAGAAGCTGACATCAAAGCGACTTAAAGAAAGTGAGGAACTCATCATGCAGAGATCTAGGAAAAAAGCTTTCCAAGAAGAACCAGCTAGTGTAAGAGCCCTAAGCCAGGAGAGCACGGACATGTTCCAGAAACAGCAAGGAGGCCTGGACAACTGTAACAGAGCCAACAGAGAGTGATATGAGGTCACAGAAATAGCGGGATAATTATGTAGAGTTTGGGATTTTCTCTTAGTTAAAAAAAGGGGGGGGGAGGGGGTACTACTGAAGCATCTTGAATAGAATAACATGATCTGACTGACCAGGCCAATTATCACAAATTTCCTCTCAACTCTGAATTCCTCCTTCAGCAGCTGCACTAAAATTAATGGACTGGAGTTTTTAAGCATTTCTTGTTTTACACTGAGCACAATGTTATGTTCTGTCAGTAAAGGGCACTGAAGAGAACTGAAGGAAAGGACACTTCCTGGTTCTGCTTGCTGCATTTTATTTTTTTCTGGCTCCTGCTACATGGTCTGTTATGCCACTTCTACTACATGGTATGTATGGGGAGGACATCCAGTGTTGCTCTGCCCTAGCCAGAGGCCATGTGTCCAGAGGCCCAACCCCAGCAACCTGTCACAGCCTTGGCCCAGGCACCTCATAACAAGGACACTGTACATTCTAGCTACACATACCCACAGCAGCTCCCAATCACCTCTACAAATAAACCAACCAGCTTTGGCTCACCTATACCTGACAGGGTTGTTTCCTATCTGCCCAGCTACTATGGCAACAACTCAGCCAATTTCACCATTAACAAACTCAGGCTACTACTATACCTTATCCAATAAGGCCTGAATCCCAGCCTTGAGAAAGGGGCCCCTGTTCCAAGTTGGCTCTTCCTTGGGACTGTCAGCTCTGGAATATCTTTTAGCATTCTCTTTGCATCCTGTGTTACTCTCCTATCATATCTTAATAATTTTTTTACAGTAAGTCTTCCCTTTCATATTATTGTGTGCTTTGGCTCCTGAATGGACCCAAACTAATACACAGTTGGTATTGGAATTCCCAGGAGACAGACCCACAAAAGGCGATTTGAGGACTGAGTTGGAAGTACCCTTGGAACTTGAGTTAGTTCTGAGCTCCTTGACAATGGAAAAGGAGATGTTGGTAATCCATTGTAAGTACTAGAATCACAATTAGGTCACCACTTATGGTTGATCATAACAAAGTGCTGAGACTTTGGTCTTAGAAGACTTCTAAGACTTGGTCTTAGAAGGCCAAGTACCTGCCATACCTAACCATATGGCAGAAATGGTGAAAATAAAGACTGCAATGTGAGGTTGATTCTTCTGAATACTTTACTAAAACAGAGAAAAATAACAAATCTCAAGTCCTTATAAGCCTCTCTTCCTTGTCTGAGAAGACTAGCCTTTCAAACTACTATTTCAAAAACCATAAGACAATCTTATAAGGAAGAAGGCTGAAAAGGGGGACACATTATTCTCAAAACTGACCATAACTACTCCTATTATCTATAATTAGAGTCAAATCTCAGCAGGCTCTTGAGAGACAGATATATGCTATGATCCAAAGGACATAGCAAAAGTCTTTGCTGATAAACAAGTAGAACCCTATAGAACATGTATGAGAATGGATTCTAAAGGTGCTAGACCAAGAAAAGTGAAATGAAACACAATACTAGGTCTAACTCACTGATCAGTGCACACTTACTGTTTTTGTGAATAAAATTTTACTAGAACACAGTCATATCTATTAATGAATGGGCCATATTATCTTTGGCTGCTTTTATGCCACAACAACAAAGTTAGGTAGTTGTGACAAAACCCACGTGGCCTGTAAAACCTAAAATATTTATGATCTGATCCTATACTCAAGATCCTATATGGAATGTGTTAACTCATGCAGCTAGAGTTGGCTCTATCATTTACTTGGTAGGCTGACAGAAATTTGGATTAATAATGGTTTACATTTAATAAGGCAGAGATTCCAGAGTTTGCCTATCAAGAGGAAGGATCCAATTGCTGAGAAAGATAGGAATGTTGGACTAGATTTATCATTTGTCACCTACACACCAACCTCCGACCTTTGTTCCATGAAACAATCCAGAAGACACTCCCTTTATTAAAGCACTGAAAAACATATTGCTGAGAGACTATCTGCAACCTTAAAAAAAAAAAAAAAAGAGAGAGGAGAGAATTTTAATATTTATTTTTCAGTTTTTGGCGGACACAACATCGTTGTTTGTATGTGGTGCTGAGGATCGAACCCGGGCCGCACACATGCCAGGCGAGCGCTCTACCACTTGAGCCACATCCCCAGCCCCCATCTGCAATCTTTTCAAAGCTCTATGGTTACTCCCATATATAACAGCTATGACTATGAAGGGATGCCACCACTGAGATGGGCTTTCTGATTTCAGGGGAATGATGGGATCCTGGAGTAGTAGAAGCTGAAGTACCAGTACTTAATTATCAGACACTAAGTGGACACATCAACTAAAAGGCATCAGGTAGATAAAATGACATTGTCTATGCATATCACTCAACTTATACAAAGGACCCATGAATAAAATGGCCTTGGTGACAAAGATGGAAGCTTTGAATGAGTTAAAACCCATAAATTAGTCCTGACCAAAGCTGACCTTATTAAAGTTACTGCTGGTATGTAATCTGCCAACACCAGAGCACAACATTGGGTTCCCAATATGGCATCTCTGGTAGAGAGAGGGAAACATCCAGGGCAAGGGCAGACTTATTTTACCTAACTCTCTTCCATAATAGATTTCCTTCTCATATTTTTGATATAAATTTGCCTAAAATGCTTCTGCCAGCACACCATTCATAGACACCAAATGCATTATCCACCATCACAGTATTTCACACAGCACTATCTCATCAAAGAGCACATTTCACACCAAAGGAGGTATGCGGTGTGCACATTACACGTATGTGGTAAAACCAAGGGATTAACTGCTTTTACCACATACACACATTTCCTACGAATTGGAAGGTGAGACTGCCGCCTGGACATTTTGTATTCCCAGTGCCACTGAAACCTACAGGCAAAAAAAACTGCCCAATTCAACTGGTTTGAAAAATTGGTCCAGTTACCAAGGGGAAATGAGGTTGCTGGTAAACAGTAGAGGGAAAGCAGGCTAAGAGGAACTCAAGAGATCCTCCAGGGCACATCTTAGTACTTGCATGCCCAATACTAACAGTCAATTTGAAAAACTACAGGAACCAAAAATCAGGCAGAACAATTAAGACTAAGACTCTTCAGTTAGGAAAGTTTGTGAGTTAGAAGAGCCAGAAGCAGAGATTCTAGCTAAAGGCAAGAGAATTACAGAACAGATAGTTCATGAAGGAAATCACAAATATCAATAGACTTTGTGACCACTTACAGACTATAGTAGCTTTGCATATTTTCTCTTTGCTTGTTATACATGTGTGTTTATTTGCATAATCATCCCTCAACATTCAAAAGGAATTGGTTCCTAGACAACGACAACGACAATACCACCACCACCACCACCACCACCACCTCTGTATATACCAAAATCCACACATATCTTAGTCCCTTATATAAAATGATATGGTAATTGCATATAACTTTAAAATATCCTCTGGTTTATTTTATTTTTTTATTTTTTTTAACAAGTTAAAAAAGATTTATTGCCAATTCAGGCTTCAAATAAGCCTGGCATGTGGGGCTGTCCATGGTTCAGAAAGAGATCACAGCACAACAGGGTAGTGGACAAATCCAGGAAGCCTGACCTAGAATCCACCTTCTCTTCATCAGATCTCTGCTGCACAAGGCAGCTGCTGGAGTGGCCAATTCTTCAGCATCAGTCCCTCATCTGAAGGGGCTCCAATGCTGGAGCAGGTAGCCTCAAGATCCATGCAGGTCACTGCTGAGAGGCCACCTAGACCTCTTCCAGCACTGGCAGATCTCCTTGGGGCCAGGCACTATGGATCTGGCCCTATGGAGGGAGAAATGGTGCTAGTGGAGTCGTCTTGACAGTCTTATCTTGGAGGTTGCAAACTGTCCATCCATGGGCCAGATTTCCCCAGACAAGTACATTTGGCCCCTTTGGCCCCAACAGTGTATAAAAAAGAACAAGTAGTTGCCAATACATAAAAATYGTAAAATTTCATATTTAAAAATCAGCATTTTTGGCCTCTCTAGGGGGAAAAAAAATGTGACTATCTGGCGTTTCTGGACCCAGAACATTTTTATTTGGCACTCATCGGCTAGAATGCAATTGCCCCTTATGGACTGAAGTACATCCTCCAC